CAATCACCGTCTCTTGGTGGAAGGCTTCAAATTAAGACCTTTACTCGGCTTTTAGGGCCTTTGAGAAGTGAGAGATCTTTTTTAACCAACACTTACTGCAGCACAGTACATCGGTTTATACGGTCTCATCCAAAGGACCGGTCTCCTCGTCCCACAAAGGGATTCGAAACCACAACGTAAGGATCGACTCCTTACTCCGCGACTCAAGAGTAAACGCTCAAATCATGGCACCACGCCGGCGACTTGCATACCTATGTGGTTTTGTTAGAATGTGCAACATGAAGAATTGCGGCGTTGTTCTTTCCCGCTTTCACTGAAAGTTGGGGATATTAATTTTTGGGTGCTCCCGACCGTCACCGGTCATGCGTCTGCTGTAATTCTCTCTGTGTTTAACACTTTTGTTTCTGGACGATATCACAAATACCTTTGAGCTTTTATGATAATAAATTATACTACATATACATTTTACTACAACTCCCTATGACCTCAAGACCCCTAGTGAATTCGAGGTCAAAATTAAAAAAAAAAACTTCTTACTTTGCAAGTGGCTGCTTGATCAGAGATGCCCCACTAATTAGCTCCTGAATCTGACAATTGCAAATCTCTGCTATCAAATTTTTTTCTTGACCAGTGCTTGATAATTAATCATGCCCATGGGAGAAACTGAATTTCCCTCATATCATTAACATTTGTCATAGATTGCTGTAAAATATATGATAACATTTTTTTATGCCCCGCCATGAATATGGCCGGGGCATATAGTGTTTGTCATGTCCGTCTTCCGTCCTTCCGTCTTTCCGTCACACTTTGTGTTTAGCTCTGTTCAAAGCTAAGTTTCAAAAAAACTATCCAAGATATTTTCATCAAACTTCATATGCTGATAGATATTGATGAGAGCCATGCAACTGCATCAACATTTTTTGACCTTGACCTTTCCTTTGACCTTGACCTCGCTTTTCTTAAATTAGTGTTTAGCTCAGTTTTAAACATATCATTCAAGATGGTGTTATCAAACTTCACATGTCGATAAAACTTGCATGGATGATGCATCTAGGGATGAACACTACCAGACTTGCTTCAGATGCTGGATCTGACCTACATTTTCCAGATGAGTGACCAGGTTTAAGTTTTTGGAGCAGGTCCATTCCTAAGGAACGATAAGCCGTACCTGCACCAAACTTGCATGGATGATGCATCTAAGGATGGACACTGCCAGACTTGCTTCGAATGCTGGATCTGACCTATATTTTCATTCCCAAGTAACTATAAGACCTACCTGAACCAACCTTGCATGGATGATGCATCCAGGGATGGACACTACCAGACTTGCTTTGGATGCTGGATCTGACCTATATTTTCATTCCCAAGTAACTATAAGCCCTACCTGAATCAAACTTGCATGGATGATGCATCAAGGGATGGACGCTACCAGACTTGCTTCGGATGCTGGATCTGACCTATATTTTTATTCCCAAGTAACTATAAGTCCTACTGAACTAAAATTGAAGGATGATGCAACTAGGGATGGATACTACCAGACTTGCTTTGGATGCTGGATCTGACTTATATTTTCTTTCCCAAGTAACTATAAGCCCTACCTGAACCAAACTTGCATGGATGATGCAGCTAGAGATGGACACTACCAGACTTGCTTCGGTTGCTGGATCTGACCTATATTTTTATTCCCAAGTAACTATAAGCCCTTCCTGAATCAAACTTGCATGGATGATGCAGCTAAGGATGGACACTACCAGACTTGCTTCGGATGCTGGATCTGACCTATATTTTTATTCCCAAGTAACTGTAAGTCCTACCTGAACCAAACTTGCATTGATGATCCATCTAGGGATGGACACTACCAGACTTGCTTCAGATGCTGGATCTGACCTATATTTTTATTCCCAAGTAACTATAAGCCCTACCTGAACCAAACTTGCATGGATGATGCATCAAGGGATGGACACTACCAGATTTACTTTGGATGCTGGACCTGACCTACATTTTTAAACCAAACTGATCAAATTTTATACACATACAAATGTTCACCTTGCTTTACTAATATATCCTCTGCGGGGCATTCATGTCCTATGGACATATTTCTAGTTTTTACTTGATTTAACATTTTTTAATAAGGATACACCTAAATTTTTTCTCTTTTATTAAAACATGGAACCTAAAAAATTCAATGTACAGAAAAGCTTATTACATACATTATAGCAATTTATAAATCAAAATCACAAATAATTGCCTACTTCTAGATACAAATTATCATTAATTAAATGTACTTTCCTTAGAATTACGTTATGAAACTAAGACATTTTTTTTATCTTATATCGAAAAACTTCTATATAAATGTTTTCTTTTTCCAATTTAAATTTCATTTTATATTTATTAATGGTAAAACAAATGAATGACATTAGATTATTCAATCTCGTTGTTTTTGATTGATTTCATTGTAAAAGCCAAGTACCAGTACTTTCCATTTGATTTCAAAACCCAAAATAAACTGATTTTTCCCCATTTATTTTCGAAAAGTTTACACATGTTCAGTGTCTTTAACAACCATAAATATTCACGAAAAGGTTCTTCTATCTTTGATCCATATTCATGCATTTACTTACATTTAAATTATTATTCAATGTGCAATTCAGTAATTTATAATTGAATTCAGCAACATTTTTTTTTCATACCTTTGGCTAGATATACATTTTTCCAGACAAATTTGCAACCAAGATCAAAAGTCTTTTGCCACATATATTTTTCTTAAACTGATCGTTGAAATTTTATGTTAACAAAATTGAATAATGAAAATCACATTTTAGATTTTTTTAGATTTCTTATACTTTTATTTTTAATCTAAAATGACACTACTTTTTCAATATTAACAAATTTTGCATATGTACATTCAAAATTGTTTTGTATTCATTATAAAGTGCCTTTTTATGCGCCCGGATCGATAGATCCGAGGCGTGTATTAATTTTGGTCTGTCTGTTTGTCTGTCTGTTGTCCACTTTCACCTTCGCCATAACTTTTGAACCATGAGAGATAGAGACTTCATATTTAGTATGCACACTTTTCTAATCAAGATCTTTAACATGACATCAAGGTCAATTATCTGTGACCTTGACTTTGACCTATATGCTAAAATTATCTTTTTCGTACTTTCGCCATAATTTTTGAACCAAGAGAGATAGAGACTTCAAATTTGGTATGTATTGTCTACTAATTAAGTACTTTCAAACGACACAAGGTCAATGACCTTGTGACCTTGACTGTGACCTTTATGCTAAAAGTAGCTTTTCCGAACGTTCGTCATAATTTTTAACCATAGGAAACAGAGACTTCATATTTGGTATGCATACTCAACTAGTTAAGTTATTTCAAATGACACAAAGGTCAATGATCTTGTGACCTTGACTGTGACCTATATACTATAAATAGTTTTTTGGAACTTTGTTGCCACCGGGCATCTTGTTTGTCATGATATATTCACAGAGTATATTGTTTTTCTTTTCCAGTATGTTTAAAAGTGTTTAATACTAAGAAAGTTACCACCATAACCAAAAAGACCCTTGATATACAGAATATTAATTTTTATCCAGTTTTCAAAACAAAGAGGTTTAGAATCACACTGAAACATATTATTGTTCCAAATGAATTCCGATAAAAAGTGGTCTCTCTTTAAAGTGCAAATTTGTTTAACTTTTTTTTTACATTTATTGAAAGCAGAAAGGGCCTCACTATAAAAAGTGATATTTTTTTTTACTTAAATTGTTCTAGAGCTTTGTACATGAAGTTTTATTCAACAGAATCAAAAGTTTTTTTTTTTAATCGAGGAAAGAGCAAAATACCATCAATGTTATTATTTGTACAATATTCAAATATATCTAATATTATTATCGCGTTTTCTCCAATATATCTACCTTTAATACAAGCAATTTGATCACTACTAATTATTCTACTACATGTAGCAACTTTTTGCAAACTATTAGCTAAAACATGAGCAAAAATTTTGTAATCAACGTTTGTAAGACTAATTGGTCTATATTTAGTTCTTAAGATTTTTCTTTCTCTCCTTTCTTAAATATCAAACATATCACACACTGAAAAAAATAAACTAGTGAAAGTCACTGGGAAGACTAGTAAATCTACTGTCCATACAATCACTACCTCAAAAGTAGTTTTACTAGGAATTGGGTAGATTCACTAGATAACATTAGTAAATCTAAGAATTTATAAGTAACTTTCACTAGGTATCTTAGTATCTATACGACCACCACTCCACTTTTTACTATCTTAGCCAGTAAACAGAGTGATCACTAATCACGCAGAACGCTTTACTAGGCATACTAGTTAAATCAACTAGGTATTTCTTTCAGTGCAGCTTTTCTTTGCGAAAAGGCAAAATACCATTACTTTTAAGAGGAAAAAATATTTCCTTTATATCATGCCAAAAACCTTTATAGAATTCTGCCGTTAAGCCATCTTGACCAGGGGATTTGTTAAGAACAGCTTCTTCGCCTGCACGTAGCACTGTTGTCAACTAATAAGCATGCTCAGCTATATCTTTACATTTTTAGGATTGTGCAATTTGAAATTTAAAAGACTTTTAAAGAAATTATTTACTTAAACTAAAGGTCACAATGACCTTGAAATTGGTCGCGACACATCTTCTACCTAAAATGTATAAATTTGCCAAGTTTGATAGTTCTAGGTCTAGTTTTCTAGTTATGAGCCGAACAGGATTTTTGCAATATTTTGTCATAGCATCTTAATTAAAGGTAAGAGAGACCTACTTTTTAAGTGCGACACACCGTCTACCAAAGAAGTATCAGTTGACAAAGTTTGATAATCCTAGGCCTAATAATATTGAAGTTATGAGCGGGACTGGAATGGGCAGACGGACAGACGAACGGACGGACTTGAAGCTTGTAACATAATACGTCCCGTCTTATGACGGGTGTATAAAAAGAGGCGCAAATTCACAGTTCTCGCTAAAATGTCTAGCCAGTTAAGAATTTTGATTAAAACAAGGTTTATATTTGACAAATGTGAACATTTTTTTTTAATTTCCGATTATACAGTTTCAGCACAATGTCCCACAACTACAACAGCGGAACCAGAAACAACAACAGAAATAGAAACGACAACAACAGAAACAGAAACCACAACAACTGAAACAGAGACTACAACAACGGAACCAGAAACAACAACAACAGAAATAGAAACTACAACAACTGAACCAGAAACGACAACAACACAAACAGAAACTACAACAACTGAACCAGAAACGACAACAACACAAACAGAAACTACAACAACGGAACCAGAAACGACAACAACACAAACAGAAACTACAACAACGGAACCAGAAACGACAACAACACAAACAGAAACTACAACAACGGAACCAGAAACGACAACAACACAAACAGAAACTACAACAACGGAACCAGAAACGACAACAACACAAACAGAAACTACAACAACACAACCAGAAACGACAACAACACAAACAGAAACTACAACAACACAACCAGAAACGACAACAACACAAACAGAAACTACAACAACACAACCAGAAACGACAACAACACAAACAGAAACTACAACAACTGAACCAGAAACGACAACAACACAAACAGAAACTACAACAACGGAACCAGAAACGACAACAACACAAACAGAAACTACAACAACGGAACCAGAAACGACAACAACACAAACAGAAACTACAACAACGGAACCAGAAACGACAACAACACAAACAGAAACTACAACAACGGAACCAGAAACGACAACAACACAAACAGAAACTACAACAACGGAACCAGAAACGACAACAACACAAACAGAAACTACAACAACGGAACCAGAAACGACAACAACACAAACAGAAACTACAACAACGGAACCAGAAACGACAACAACACAAACAGAAACTACAACAACTGAACCAGAAACGACAACAACACAAACAGAAACTACAACAACACAACCAGAAACGACAACAACACAAACAGAAACTACAACAACACAACCAGAAACGACAACAACACAAACAGAAACGACAACAACACAAACAGAAACGACAACAACACAACCAGAAACGACAACAACACAAACAGCCACAACAACAACAGTACCAGAAACTACAACAACACAAT